GCTTTTGGCACAAACCTAATCCACCTTCCCTTCTCAATTTCAGGATATTTGAAATTCCATTCCAGTCCCATGTTTTGTGTCTCAAGATGCTTCACTCTTACCCTGGCCCAGCTAATTCTGTTGCCAGGAGGGTTTGCTCTCTATAGTTTATTTTGCCAACCACTGCACCTACTGATGCCTATTCTTTTCTGGAATAATTGACTGGATTCAATAATTTTTTGTCTTGACATACTCTGTCCAACACCTTAGGCCTAATAAAGCTACTCTCAACTTCAAGAAATCAAGGTATGCATCCCTGGCTTTTGTGTACAAAGTGGAAGGAAGTTCTAAATCACATTTTCTCCTGTGCAACAAATAGAAAGATGAACAAGTTTCACTTATTTTCTGACAGAAGGAATTTCACTTCCAGAATATAAGGGAGGCATAAAAGAACATGGCCGATGAGCTACCTGTCAGTGGAACCACACTGGCTTTACAATACCAGCATAACAGAACACAACACTTGGCCCTTTCACCATGGCTGGTTAAACAACAATCAGCTCCAGGCTGGATTACCAAGAACTGTAGAGAAGGCAGGAGAATTTTCATTGAGATTTAACAGTTGACCCAGTCCGTGACAATGAGGAATTTTGCTTACCAATGGGGCGAATAACTGTTGCATTAGTGGATGCTTCACTGGTTTGAAAGTCCACATCCTTATGATAGGACAGACCACTGTTTGGACAGATCTCCTTGTGTTTGTGCTGGTCCTTATACATGATGTATTTGTTACACTCCTGACACCTCTCTGTTCGGCTGGCACAGGTGTCCAGGTGTTCCTGTAGCTTGTTGAAGGGCATTTCAAGGTCACAGATGGTGCATTTCATGGCTCGTTTTTGGCACTCCTTGTTCTGTACATGAATAGACAAAATTATTGCAGATTTCCTATCAATATTGAGAGAGGGCATTGAGTGAGAGCAATGAGTGGCTGTTTAAAAACATTCTCCTTAAGGGTTATCTATAAAATCAAATGCAGGCATAGCTGCATTAGCAGTTCATCTGTCTAGGCTATCTTTATCTTAGGATGATTTAGGCAATATAAGGCAAAATGAGAATCAACAGCTGTGAAGATGTTCTGTGCCAGTACAGGTCAGCAACAGAGCACAAGGCCACCTAGAAAATTCCAATACTTTAGCTACCACTGCCACAGGAAGGCTGCTGTGTTTTCACTGCTTTGGTTCCTTAAAATGATTAGACTACAGCTAGCATGGACAGACTGCTCTCACTTCCAGCCTCTGCGAAGCGTTTTTGTGTATCTTCTCTCATTGACTCTCACCTTGTATAATCACTCATTCAGAGAAGCAGGCAATATGAGTGTGGGGGCAGGACAGAAATGTCTTGGAGGAGCCCGCAAAGAACATCAGATCGAGATATCAAGGATGAGAAAGTAATAGACTATCTCCTGGAACAGACTGTCCCATCACAACTGGATGGGCAACCACCATGGGCACCCACTTCATTACAAGGGGGGAAAGTATGCCAAAACACTGCAGCTCTTCAGAGATTTAAGTTTCTTCATGGTCCAGGACAGGAGTCAGGGATTTACATGTTTTTGCTGTTGAACACATTAGAGTGACTTTTAGTGTCTGATCAAAAGGGTCAGCCTGGAAGTAAAAAGTACTGCACTCCATACTTACCTCATGATGCTCCAGCTGGTATTGCTGCATACTTTGGTGACAAAGTCTGCATCTGATCTGCAAGCAGAACATACAGAAGTTCACTTGGAGCACAGAAGGATGGTTGATGTTGTCATATATCAATAAGCTTCAAGCTCCTGAGATCTTCCTGTCATTTTCATCCCAATCATCAACCAGCTGAATTTTTGTTTCTCTGTCTGCCCTGAGCTGAGTTGATGAGATTTTGAGGAAAGCAGGTGTCTGATGATTTTGCAAAAAACTGTCATTCTGTGTGAGGATCCAGTTCTCAAAGACACCCATATGAAATGCAAAGTGTGATGTGAAATAGCATGTATTTAAAATTTTGACTGAGTTTTAACTAAAAAGTATAGGTATGATATTCAGCTAGTCTAAATTATAACAGCCACTCTGAAAACATTGGAGGTAGGCTGGTTTTCTAGAGGTTTGCCATGAGAGTTACTCATGTGTTCTGTTAAGTAACTGAATTCAATGGAATTGCTAAAACAATGCAACCAGTAAGACAGAATAAAAAAGTCATGCCTGTGTATTCATACTTCACCATAGTGCCTCTAGCTACAGAGTTCTTAATGCTACACTAAAAATGCTCTTGCCTTCCTGTATGAAGAGCTGATAAATGCACTCTGCCAGTTCAGCTTTTGTTAAAAAGGTGAGTTGATGTCAAAGCTCTGTACAAGCAAGGTTCATGTCAGATCAGGTACTGTCTGTCTTCCTCTACTCAGATCACTTGCCCTGCCTGCTCAGGCTAATTCACAAGCACTAGGAGCACATTTCATCTGTAGTTTATACTGCTGAGGAAACTGAGATACCGCAATAGAAGCTTCATTCTCTTAAGCTAAGTGTGCAATAGGATCAGAAGATGTTGTAGCAGGTCTAAAGGGTCATAGCAGACCCTTACAATTTTTCTGGTCAAACAATTACAGAAATTTAAAGCTGGTTAATATAGAGCACAGTGATATGAACATACTACTTCAGGGCTGGAAGGGCTCTTTGGAAGGGCTCTTTGCTAGTCGCAAGAAAACCCCAAAGAACATGTAGCATTCCTCACCTGTTTGTGTGCTTCTGTCTGATGGTCTTCCATATCCTTTTGAGCAACTGGTTCATCACATTCTGGACAGAGGGTAAGAAACCGCATGCAGTGGGCCTCATGGAGGGAGAAATTGGCAGCAGACACATCTCGTTTACTATCGAGCATATATGGGAGAGAAGAGTAAATGAACTTTTTTCCTTTGTTACCAAATAAAATTGAGGCTAAGCTCATGCTTAACCCTTCTAAGTTTGACTCTTTTTTTTAATTGCAGTGCTTCATTGCCTTCATTCATATAATTTTCCCAATGGCCTTGCTACTGTTCAAGACACACCAAGCTACGCTACCCTCATGGCCCCTTTCAGCCTTCTATTCTACGAGAAATGGTCAACTACCCTGGAAAAAATGAGTATTTTATCACTTAATTGCAAATATAGCAAGAGAAAGAACCATCAGTCATGGGGGGAAACAGCTGGTGGGTTTGGCATGGTTCATGCACTGACTCTTTTCTCTGCCAGATACTGCAAAATTGCCCACAAAGGTATTCTGTAAAAAGTGAATATGCAGCAGAGGAGAGAACTGTGGAAGAAACATCTGCACAGCAAAGCAGCAAGAGTGCAGCATCCTGGAAACGTAAAAATGCATTCAAAATATTTTTATTTCCTACTCAATAGCTAGTATACTCATGCGGTGTGGTTCTTCCTCTGCTCCCCCTCTTACAGGAGACCTGGATAACACCAACGAAAATCCTAAAAACTCCTGAAAGCCCCCCTTTTGTAGGGTTGGAGAGGGTGAAAGATCACTTACCAATTTTTGCAGAACCTGTTCTCTCCTGTCATTTTTCTTTTTATTTTACTGGATATCCTTTCTTCTAAGAGCAGAGAGGAATCTAGGAAGCGAAACTGAAAGGCTCTGTTGCAGTAACTCCACCCCAAACAGCTGTTTGGCCAAAAATTCTTTAAAGGAGAAACAGCAGTATTGCCAGGCAAGTATTGGTTATTGGTTTTAGGTGTGAATTCCACACAGATTAGTTCGATAGTCCTTAGAGAAACTCCGGGGTCTCAGCTTCCTTCTTTCCCACATAAATTTGATTTACAGTAGCTTGTTCAGCAGCTGGCAGGGTTCCTGGGCCTGACCGGTCTGTGCCCTCAGCCCCTGCCCTCACGATCCGGGCACGGCCGCATCCTCCGCCCGAGGAACCGAGGAGCCCGCGGCGCCCTGAGGAGGGGCCTGAGAGCTCCGTCCGGGCCGCGGGGCCGCAGCGTTGAGGGCAGGGGCACGAGGCCTTCCCTTCGCCTCTTGGGGGATGGTCACGGTAGTATCCGGCCCCACAGACCCACCTTGGCCTCCCTGGGACAATGCCGTCTCCCTTGGACAAAATCAGCCAGCTCGTGGGAGGAGGTGTTCGCCTTCCATCACAACGGGGGAGGAACCCAGCGCCGGCCGCCCCTCCCCGAGCCCGCGGCCGTGCCCCAGCAGGTCCCTACGCCTCTCTGCTTCCCCAGTGACCCTTGGAGCACTTCAGGGCATCAAACTACGTGCCTGGTGAAATTTCCAACCCCTGTTTCCTTCCTGGGGATACTCTGCTGTGGTTGGGATGGACCGACAGCACCAGAGGCCGCAGGAGCAGCGGGTCCTGTCTCTTGCTGGACCTCAGCATTACATTTTTACATAGAAAATTTTAGAAGAAACATAAGTTAGAGAGAAAAATAAACAGAAGTTCACGTTTTCAACGCCGGTACCAGTACCTTCAGGACTTTCTGATGGAAGGCCAAGCATTTGTGTACCTGCTGCTACAATAGATGCCTTCCAGCAGCTGTATGATAAGTGCCGTCTCTGATGTGACAGACTCTGCCCAATGTGGAAAAATGATATACAGGAGATGCAGAAAATATGAACTGACTTTTTTGTCTTTGAAATTGGGGCAATAATATTAATTCTTCCACTTTGCAGAGGTATTGGAAAGAATAATTCACTAGTCTTTGCATAATGCATCAGATAGATATGCTGTAGACAACAGCTGTCACAAATGTTACTCAGAAATTAGTGTGGTTCATTTCCCATCTAAACAAGCCCCTTCTGTCCCCCATCTTTCTCTGGAAAAAATGAAAAAGGGAGCGCAATAAACCATTATTAGATCTGGGAATAATGAATGTTTATCTGGATTTTGTAACACAAATTATGTAATGAAGCAGAGAAAAGGCTTTTGAAAAAATATGTTAATGAGATGGCAGCTAAGGGAGAGGTTACAGAGCTGCCAATTTGAATCAAATTTTAATGTGATTTTCTTCTGGATCTTTTTTTCTTTTGTCATCATTAGCCTGCAGAGCACTTGAATGTGGTTTAGGGCTTCATGCAAACTACGCAGGACCAATTGTAGGTCAAGAAAGCCTGATCAGCAACACAGACTGAGAAAACCCCACTGACTCAAAATTCATAATGAGAGCTTTTATGTAGAAAGTTGTTGGGCACAGGGATTGTGCTGAAAGGACTGTTCGTTCAGAGTCTCAAGAGCTTTTCTTGGAAAAATATCAGATGCTCCACTGGGAGCTTAGTTGAAAGCTACTCCTGAGCAGCACAGTGGACTGCCAGTAGCTGGGAAAGCCTGATTGGAGGGAAAATGGAGAGCAACGAAACAGTGGTTTTCTCTGAATGCCGGCAATAACTCTATCCATTTAAATTCTGTGTAAACCTTCCAGTACGTAATATTACTGTACAAGACCTTCTCTAGGCATCTTTTCAAGGCAGACATCACACAGAGGTAAGTTCTGAGCTATTTTTTAAATGATTTTCAAAAGCCTAAGGAGAAACACTTCTTTTTCTTTTAAGTCCTAGAATGTCTCAGGGTCAGTTGTTTTAATTTTTGTTTCTCAGCATCAAGTATGATATGTCTTACAGTCCTTGTTTAATTTAATTTTGTTAAAACTTCTGTACCTCTGGGTACATGAGCTTGCAACATGAAAGAACTTTAAAAAGAATGTGAGGAGAATTTTTATTGTGAGAAGGAGTAGCAGTTATCTAGGTCAAATGGACTGCTTTAGAACAAGAAAACTGTACTTGTATGCTTGGGCAGCATTTGAATTAGAGGCAGAAAATATGTCTATCTGTAATTAAATGAACCAGCTGCTGCCTGTAAAGCCTCCTTGGCAGCAATAACCAGAGTAACTGGGATAATTGGCTTGTAGTGAGTGCGATATATCAGAAAAGCAGCTTCTCAGGAATGAACTAAACTATAATAAAATCTTTATTTTCCAATTTTTCCACCTGGACTGATGACCCTGGAATTCCTACCTTCCAAGTGGAATTGGTTTCTAGTCCCTTTCTAATAACCCAAAAAATGCAGGTCACCCTTTTTTAACTGGTCTTCAGCAGTGTCCCATTTCCAAGTAGAACTCAACAGTGGTTCATATCATTGACTCTGGTATCTGAAGTACAAAAGGGAAGATTGCAAGACTCTGTGAATGGTTTGACAATGCTGTCAAGTTTATCTAGGCATTTGCTGTCTTGAAAGGTGCGGCTGTTCCTGTCCCAGCTGTTCCCGTGCCCAGCCATTAAGTGGCCCATTCTCTCGAGCTGGCTCTGGTGCTCACTGAACACTTCACTGAACCTACTCACCTCGCTAACAGCAGAAAAATGTTCTGCTTTCTTTATCAAGTTAAATCGAATAAGCCCCAAAGCCCCCAGTTGAGAAATGCCAAGAAGGCCAGGGCAGGTTGGTGTCAGTGGGGCTGAGGGGCTTGGCTCTGTTACTCTAACCCTTGGTTCTTGGCATGCTTCAAAATACCTGTGTTTATTAGGGCAGCAGAACAGCAAATGGGAGCAGTGGTGTCCAGCAACCAGGAAAAGGGATTTCAGGTACAAGAGACCTGATTCAGCTCCTGGTTCCAACTCATGTTATCACCCACGCCTAAACCTCTTTGTAACACAAAGATTTGAGTTCCTTTGTAAACTGATTTGAAATTTACTACCAAGAAGAACAAGAGCAGCATATTGTTCAACACAAGGGTATCAAAATTTGGCCCAAAGGCTGCTACAATATTCTGCTTCTAAATGATGTCTGCAATCAAAAGCTAATTTTACCCACTGCCTTTAAAGCAGTTGTCAAAGCCAGTGCTGTCTGCTATATTCAGAGCAGTACTGACTGGAGGAAAGGATCCCTTTCTCTTGAAAGCCTGAAGTTAGTGCTCAATTAGCATGAGCTGAATTTCAGGCTGTGGGAGGTTTTTATTTGAATGCTCTTTGGACCACCTAAAACTCCTCCTGGATGTTTTGCGAGCACATAGGCTCTCTGCAGCTCCCTTCTGCCTGGCTGTCAGACCTGTCTGTAAAGCAAACAGCCAAAGCTTTGTCCATCTTCTTCTTGGCACAGTAAAGAGGAAGCTCATCGTCAAATTACGTGAAAGAGCTGCATTCCTGTAGCACGCTCATGTCCAGCCAGTGCCAAATGCAGCTCAGTTGTAAGCATATTTTGAGGGAAATGGGGAACAGCTGGGATACTTGCCAAATGGAACATGCTTCTCCATGCTTCTCTCTGCTGGTGCAGGCTGATCTCTTAGAGCCATGCCCAGTCTCAGCCTATACTGTAAAGCCCTCTTTTACCCATCTTGATTATGCATTGCACAACTTTCCCACCTCTTTATCTGAATGTAGATGTCTTCTCTCTTGTCCTCACTCAGTATTCTTTTTCCTGCCTGTGTTGTTGCAGTTTGCGGTAATACATGATTATGTGGTTCTAACATCTGGATTCAGTCAACTTCTCACTCTTCTGGTTCTTACAGTAGAACATGAATTGACACATGTAAACCTCCAGTGGTTTATAAAATATTGGTGGATGTATCTTAAATATGAAGTGTGCAGTGGCAGGATGGCTTGAACAAGGTGGTATCAAGGTCAGAATTTACCTTTCAAGTTTACAGGTTCAGTTCAGTGCAGGACCTTGTCTTTGCTGCTCTGCCTCAGCCAGCTGTTGTGATTGGTTTTAGCTGAATTCCTAGCAGACTTCCACAGGAATTGTAGTTGGCACTAATTTGACTTCTCATCCGTCAGCACTGTTGTTGTTCATGAAGAAATATTCCACATGCACTTCAACAAACCAACCTGCTCTCTCCTGAAGCAAAGCTCTAGAAAAGGAGCCTACTTTACCAAAGAAATAAAGAAGTAAAAGTTGCTCATTTCCATGTACCCACTTGAGATTTCTCTCCAGTACTGCTTTAATCAAATGCCTTAAATTTAGAGTTTCTAAAAGCAGCTCATCAGTGCTGGTCTTCATTCATGAAAAGATTACAATTGCTTAGTTTAGGACCTGGATCTCAGAGAAAAAATGCTCAAATAAAGAAAATCTAGGCATGCAATCTTTCAAATCTGAACTCGGTGTTTTTCCTATATCTCTCTCTCTTTCAACTGGTATTAACCACGCACCTCTGGCAGAAGCATTGGGAAGTGGGTATTTATCTCTAAGGGCCAAGTACTTACTGGTCTTGATTGACACCTCCCTGTTTTCCTTCTTTGCTCCTTCCTTTCTGGTCTATAATCTCTTGAGAGGCCTGCACCATCTTCTCATCCCTGTCCTAAGTCAGCTGATCATAAGAAACCCAGGGACCAATGCCTCTCCCTTCATCCCAAAAGTACACCCTTTGCTGGTGTGGTGCTCCGTGAGCATCAGCAGGGGGTACCCATTACCTTTCGGTGTGATTCCCTATTATTCAGATGCTGGTTCTTTTCTGTAAGTCTTTTTCTGATTTGTTCCATATTATTGGAAGTACTTTGCCTGGCACACTGAAGGCAAGTCTGCAATAATTCTGCACAATAAGATATTGATTTCCTTTTCTGTATTTGACAAAAAAGGACTGAGGCATGAATTAGCTCACAGGAGTCCTTGGTCTCATCCCCAGGTACAGCAAGCAAGTCTCTTTTCACAGGATTATTCTATCTAAAGGTATCAACACATTTGTTGCCTTTATTTTCTTTTTTTTTTTGCACTGCATCGTATTGAAATGAGAAGACAACAAATCATGTTTGCACTGGTCTATCAGTGAACCCTAGTACAACTCCTTTAGAGCTAGCTATTTGCATTTTCTTATTTAAGTGTTTGTAGTCCTTTTTCTTTTTTGACTAGGAACCATTTTTTCATTGGAGATTGGCCACAGGAATGCAAGTTTTGGCTGATTCCCCACTTTCTGCTAGACTTTGCACTGGTGTGAAGTTCCCTCTGTGTTGGTAAGTTACCCAAAGGGACTGCTGCAAAAGGTTTGAAGATTTGGAATCTGTCCAGATCCGGTTGGCTACTGTTTTCCTTAGTGGGCATTCACTGCTTTTATAAATGAACAGTAACATTGGAGTGTCTTGTTTTGAACTTCTGTCACTCAAGTTCCTCTGGTCAGCAGAGGACAAATAGTGCAAGCTGTAGTCAGAGCTCCCTCATTACTTGCTGTGGAATCTGAAATTCTTTATTTCAGTGATAACTGCTTGGTAAGACTGTATGAAGGGACTGTGGATCAAATTGTTGAGATATGATTTATGCTAACTTCAGTTTCAGGTGGCTGTTGACATCCCAGAAGCAGAGCCTAAAATATCAACACTTTGTTTGTCCTTAGTCTAGTTTCCAGTCCCTCCAGTTGTTCCTTTCTGCCTTCACGATAGCACTGGCCAACCTGTTAGTAGGGCCATCCCTTCGGTTTCCGAGGCTGCACTGTAGATGAAGTCACTGAATTCAACAACATTAAAAACAACCTTTCAAGTTAACCTTTCTGGGTTATTTTTAACCCACATCCAGACGCACAGTACCTCACAAAATAATAACGAAACACAGCCATGCATGCCTGCACAGACCTTTGTTTTGGGGAGACCTCCAATGTGGTTTTAACTCTCAGTTTCCCTAAAGGAGCTCAGTCTTTCCTCACCACTGTGTGAATGATCGAGGGACGATCCTCCCGTGGCGCCACCAGCACCTCCCGAACGTCCAGTGTCAGCACTTCGGTCCCTGCACACGATGTGTGAATCCGTGCTTGCTGACACCTTTCTGTGGGCGCTGCGAGCAGGGAGACCGTTCTTAAAACATTCTCCCGACTGGTGTGGTAGCTGATACACAGCCATTGAGCAGCTTTCCTTGGCATGGAGGGGCTGCAGAAGCCCCGCACGGAGGTGGCCGTGAGGGAGGGGGTCCGGGACCGATCCCGCGCCGTGACCCGGGGCCCCGGGCAGGGAGGGCGGCTCGGAGCGGGGCCGGGGCGCTCGGGGCGGCCCGTTCGCTGCCCGGCCGTGCCCGCGGCGTTGCCCGGGGCCGCCCCCGGCGGGGCGGGCGGGACGTGTCGCCCCCCGCCGTGTCCCTCCCGTCCCTCCCGCCCCGTACTTAAGGCGGCGGCGGGCGCTGCTCCGCTGCCGTCCTGACCGTGTCACCCCACAGAACATGGCCCCGATGTGCCTGCGGCCCCTGCTGCGGTACCGCTCCTTCGCCATCCTCTTCCTCACGCCGCTGCTGCTGCTGCCGCTGCCGCTCGCTGTGTCCACGCGGGTAAGTGCCTGAGGGGTCCCTGCCCTGCTGCCCCCCAGGAGATCCCACTCTGCCCTCGGCGCCTGGCGCTGCTCCCAGGGGCTCCCACGGACCCAACCCATTAGTGCAATTAGATGCAATTCATTTTGGGCCAAGACAAATCCATGCATAAGTGGCCGGCGCGTTTGGAACTGTCTTGTATTCTCTCGAAGCAATGGCAGTGGGATGAAGGACAGGAGTGCGTTCCCCAGCTCTGCTGAGGTGTTGGTACTCTGCCCGTTTTGCTTGGTGGCATTCTGCATCCTGGTGCAGTTGTGTGTATGCACTGATGAGGGTTTCAAATGCCGTATTCTCCAATTCACATCCTTCTTACACCAGGGATGGCAATAGCACAACTCCTTTGCGTTCAGTGGAGTTATGCCAGCATAACGTTGAAACAACCCAGTGAAGAGTTTGAACTTTAGTATCCTGTAGCTTTCTTGACCAAATGTGAAAGCTCTGTTTGCAGTATTTTAGCCTACTAGAGCTTTGTAGGCTATTCTAATGCTCAAAATAGCCTTTCTGAGCGACTTGTATTGCTCTCTGTTTTAAAGTACAGGAAAATTTCATGTGTGTTTATAAACCAAATTGCCATCCCTTTGGTTACCTGTCTAAGTAATATCAGCCCTGCCTTTCAGTTGAATGATGGTGTTTTATAGAACAAGAAATTCCTGACTGTTAAGCTCTACTTTGGTCAAAACTAGGAAAGATAATTTCCCTAAAACAATTAAGTATGTCTTCAGTTTTCAAGTATTCGTAGGCATATTGTGTTACCAGTCTAATCTGAGAAATGATGGTATTTCATAACAGGGGAGTAACATTCTGTCACTGACTGCCTTTTGATCTCTCAGCGAGGAGGCAGGTCACTGTACAGTTGATACAAAGCACCAAAGAAACATTCTGTGACTATTCTGCTAAATCATAGGCAGACATAGGCATAAATACAAACATATATTTAATTCCAAACGTTTAGTTGTTTGAATTGGCTGTGGTTGTTGGAGTTAATTTATAAGCATGGTTGTATTTTTGAACTTCACATAAATTATTTACTCTCTACTCTCTAAGACCAATGTTCCTTCTCTGTTGTGAATTTTATTCACTTACACTTGTTTATCTGTCTTTCATATTGGCAACAGATTACCCACAGTCAGTTCTAGCCCTGAGTTATTGCGGTACAGCATGAATTGTATCATGAGCTCACCTTGTATACATAAAGGGAAAAGACTTCCTTGGGATCTATCTGATATCTTTTAGTTTCTGAATAATTTTTTTTTCAAAACTTTTTCTTTTTTTGTGCTGTAAGTAATCTCCTGGAAACCTGACAGAAAAAAAATCAAATTTCTTACAAAGGCTGTTTTCTGGTTCTTAAACTTCTCAACAAAATGAAGGAAAACGCAGACCTATTTATAAATATCACCTGACAGTAGTTTTTAAATGTCACTGTCACACCATTTATTTTAGCAATAAAGTCTCATTTGTTGTATTAGAATAAAATCCTATAAACACATGCTGTAAATATGAGCAAATACTGGACTACAGAACACTGACTTCACCTTTCAAACAGTTCACTGTTAGCTAATGAATGCTTGCTTCTCCCAACAATTTTGAGAGTACAAACCAAGGAAGGCTGCTACAGAAATGCCTGATCAACAGTCCAAAAAGACAGGTTGCAACAATTCTAATCTAGGGAATCCCCTTAAGCAGGTAAGCACAGTATGATTTAGGAAAGTAATTAAATACCTGTAACGTACTTAGTTACCAAAAAAAACCCAAACTTTTATTTTAAGAGTTACTTTAAAAAACTAAGAACATGGACACACCTCAAAGACTTGTGAATTTCAGGCAAGGTAATCATCCACAATGGGAAATTTGGCCATCCATTTAAAAATATTTAACTCACTATTGCTGTTCTTGGCTCCTAGAAGTGAAATCTGCTGACCTCAACTGCCAGGAGGTAATTACACATGGCAAACTATGCACTTACCTAGTTGTGGAAGGTTTGTTTTTCTCACACCATTTATTTTGTGTGGATGGATTAAAACAAACACTATGTCTTCTTTGTCAAAAAGATCTTTTTATACAAGTGACTTCAGAATGTGGTTTCAAAGCACAAGTTTAAATCCTCATTCAGCATAACTTGTTAAGCTGCAGACAGTGTAGTGTGTGAGCCCTTTTTAAGAGCTACCAGTGTGTTTCTTATCTTTAAAAATGGTTTTCTATGCTTAAATGTGTCTTCTGTTATGTTTCAGGAGGCCAAATGTGCATATATCATCATCATCATGGCTGTGTATTGGTGCACTGAAGTGATCCCCCTGGCTGTCACTTCCCTCATGCCAGTGGTATTTTTCCCTCTGCTTGGAGTTCAGAGCTCTAAATCAGTAAGGAACTCACTAAATCCAGCTCTGATACAGGGAAATCCAGTGCTCTGATCCCTCATCAATATTTAGCCAACAAGTCTGTATTAGTGTTCAGGGTTCTTGTATAGGAAGATGCTGAACTAAATACACATTTGCCCAAAATGTTAAGAGTGGGGTGCTTGAGGTGGTAGAGGGAGGGTCTGTTTTGGGCGTGGATCCTGCTGGAGAGCATCCCACTAGTGCCAGCAGTTTATGTGTTCGTATCCCGTCCCATGAGAGAGCAGTGCAGACAGATAGATCCTCTGGGACATCTCAAAATGCACGGGACAAACTTCTGACAGGATAGACAGTGTGGTGCCAGCAGGTATGCTGTGTCCTCAGCTCATCCTCGGCTGTTTCCAAGTTCTGTAGCCCAGGTCACTACTGACCAAGAAGCTGGTAAAGGCAGGTATGGTTGCTAAACGTGCTGAGAAACCCGTTTTGGAGCTCAGTGTTTCCAGCACCTACACCATACCTTGAGACCCTAACAATGTTTTAGGAAACTGTTGTGGTTTTGTACAATGATGCACAAAGAGCCTCTGCACAGACAGTTCAGCATTTACACAGGGGATTAAGGGTTCAGGAAACTGCAGGGAGCTCTGAGGCTGCAGCTGCATCTTCTGCCGGTGTTGGATGGGGCCTGGTCTAGTCCGTGGCTTTGAGAGGGTGGAAGGCAAAATGTACTAGTGAAGCAAGCAAGAGGCAACATTTGGGCCCCTAACTTACCTTTTCTGTCTTTCAGGTGTGCTTGCAGTACCTCAATGACACAAACATGCTCTTCGTTGGAGGGCTGATTGTTGCAATTTCTGTTGAACAGTGGAATCTTCACAAAAGGATTGCACTGAGGGTCCTTCTGATTCTTGGGGTGAAACCTGCACTGTAAGAGTATTAAATTGCTTCTTTTTTGCCTCTTGTCAATTTAGCAGAGGCCTAGGGGTGGTGTTTAACCGTCAGCAGAGGAAGGATCCTTCGAGAATCTCTTTAGCTGCACTTGCACAGAGTTTCCAGAGGTGAAGTCTAGCAACAGGAACAGTTTATTCGTCCTTAAGCCAAAACCAGTATCTGACTAAATTGTCGAGGCTTGCTACTGGGGACAAAATTATGACAGTCTGAATCATTCACTGGGATTCCTTCAGTGAAGGTGGCAGAGCTGTCCTTGAAGGGAATCTGGTCCTATTCTCTATTACTGGATACTGCACACATCCCCATTTGGGCTCTGCTCTCCAAATTACAGTGACTACAAAGCCAAGCAGTGTCTGTTTGCTTTCCTCCTTTCTCCTCTGCCTATTTCTCTCTTTTCAGCCTCATGCTGGGATTTATGATAGTCACTGCCTTCCTGTCCATGTGGATAAGTAACACAGCCACCACTGCCATGATGGTTCCCATTGTCCAGGCTGTCCTGGATCAAATGGACAACACAGAGTATGATGTGACCATGATGGAACAAGCAATTGGGCAAACAAATACAGTGATCGAGCTGGAGGAAAAGAGCACATCAGATCCTGCTGCAGTGTGTGGTAAGGGCCTGCTCACCAATGAGCTGATGCTACTGAACTTACTACACTCACAGTTGCTGAGCCTAGAAGGAGTGCTTGGTACCTTTTCCAAGGGAAGAGGATGGTAACCTGACTGAAAACCCCTAATACATGACATTTAGGTTTTACAAAATAGCTTCAATTTTCGTGGCTACCATTTTGTTATACTAGTGCTAGATCCCAGACAGATTATGTTCTTTCCTTCGAGGTAGAGTCATTCTCCCAGAATTTCCCTAGACTTAACTGTCTGATCAGGGAAGTGAAAAACATATCCTGTGGGAAATAACCATCCAAACCCCCAGAATCCCACTTTCTAAATATTGTGATTATCAGTGGGGATTCAGCTTCCAAGCCACATGTAGGAATATTTGAAAAAAAATATGTAAACACAGCCTATTTTGATTCTAGGGTAATAAATATCTCTTTATGGACCAGACTGTATGTGGAGGTGGGGAGAAGAAAGAGGACTACTTTAAAAGCCACATGGAAAAGAGTAGCTGGTGTAATTTGACTCACAGTAGACCGACTGCTCTTTGGAGCACTTTGAAGTATGATCTTACCCCTGATGCTTGTTTCCTCAAGGTCCTCTGCCAATGCCATGGTTCTGCAGTAGATTTCATTTGATTTGAACCATGTGCACAAACTCAGTCCCTCTCATTTCACTGGTCTGCTGTGCTGTTACAGAGGGCTGTATTATTAAATGTGATTAAAGACCAGATCTCAAGTGTAGGGAAGGTAATAAGTGTGTGCAAAAAATACCCTTTGGTATTGTTGAATTGGTTGTAATTGCCATAAATTCTTTGTCCTGTTCCATTAGTCCAGTCAGACTTCAAGATTAGAGAACAATGGACACAGCAGCACAGTTTCACTGTTACTGTAAACTGATGTGACATATTGATTAAGTTAATGCCAAGCAAGAATTTGGTTTTCAGTGGTTTTTTTTCCCTGCTCATATTCATAACTGTTAAAGCCAGATGGATTCTTACTGGGGGATTGGAAATGGTTCCAGTGACTACAATATCTGGCTGGTTGTAAGCCTCTCTGTGAAACAGGAAATTACTGCTGAGGAACCGTAGCACTGAAGTGGACAATAGCATCCTTGGATCACGTAGATCCAGGCTGCCAGACTCTCTCTTTAGCTCCTCATGAACATGAATCCGAAGTATTTAGTGACATATCTGTGGTTTCTTTAATTAAAATAAATAGCATATACAAACTGGAAGCACTGAGCCCACAGACCCTATTCTGAATTCTCTGCCTCCCTAACTTTACCTCAGGCAAGTTGTGTTCTTTGTGTCTAGTCGTAAGCAATGGACAAGTCCCTGATGACCCCAGATCTTCTGAGGAAAAGAAAATGCGGAAGCGTATATGCAAGGGAATGACACTTTGTGTGTGCTATGCTGCCAGCATCGGAGGAACTGCAACACTCACTGGAACAGGACCCAACATGGTACTGAAAGGCCAGATGAATCAGTAAGTCATTCTTGCTGCTTCTTTTAGTTATACTATCATACTGTTTCTGTGACCAACTGACTGGTCTGAGGTAGCAATTTCAGTTGTAAACTTTAAGGATTAAGTTGAGGAACTGAGAGTGAGAAATGTGTATGAAGTGTTGGATCTTATTTATTTGCTTCAACATCTTTTAAAAGGTAGCTATGAGATGGAATTATAGGTCTTCTGAGAAAATTGTAAATACTTGCTGGCAATTGACAGACAACTGGTTGATTATGAGATATTGGTTCTTCTGCATTCTCTTTTTCAACTGAAATACAGAACATCAGAAGAGGAACTGCAGTGAAGAGCATCAGGAGAATGTACATTACTCATAAGCACACCGAAGAGAGCCAAAAGTAGCTTAGCCTCTCCTACAGTATTGTTCCTCTATGCTGTGGCTGTGGAAACAGTACAGTTATGTTGTACTCTCATTGCTAAACTGAGTTTGGGAACTGATTTACATGGAACCTAATCTGCAGTGGAAATTTTGCGAACTCCACATCAGACCCTCAACACTGCTTTCTTCTATTGCAAGTACTTCAGCCTCAGCTACTGAATTATCTGTTGCTTTTAACACCCAGCTGGAAGTTTGCTATTGATGTTCTCCCTCTGATTGTTATTAGCAGACACAGGGAAGAGCAAAAGTTAGTGTTCTTAAAACACTGGTTTCATTTTTTCAGGGCAACTAGCACTTTGTCTTCTATTGAAGGGAACAGAAGTTCAGGTATTAATTTCAGGAAATTAATTTTCAGGAAAGACATTTCTTGCTCTCTTATTACAATGGATTGGGAGGAAGAAAGAACATCCTGTCTTGGAATAAATAAGCAGGCATGTTGGAAGTGGAAGGTACCTAGAATGTATAGGAGATCTTTCAGCCACACTTATCTTACTGAGACCTAAAATATCAGCATGAGCTCCTATATGCATCAAGTACAACACAAGGAAAACTGAGGATCATTAAAGGGAGAGTAGATTATGTTTTTTGACATTCATAGAGAAAGCACTTTTCATTTCAGGTTATATCCCAACAATAATGATGTTGTGAATTTTGCTTCCTGGTTTGGATTTGCATTCCCAAACATGGTTCTGATGTTGGTGCTAGCTTGGCTTTGGCTACAGTGCTCCTTCATGGGACTCAAGTAAGTATTTGCCTACATGATAGTGTCTAAACCCCTCAGTAAGCTAGTGCAGATCAGTGAAACAAATGCACTGACAAGTTATTAATTTTGTAGCACAGAGCAGTTCCCTTTTACAGCAACTTTTGAGGTCTGGAAAACGTTTTGTGTTCATGGGAGGTGTACTAAGGCAAAAGCTTTATACATTCTTAATCTTCAGACAGAATTGTCTTTTTGTTTTTTCATCTCACACCTGTGAAATTCAGCCCTGGGAGAGTTGGCATAGCTGGTTTGCAACTGTTGATTCAAACCTGAGTTTTTCATCCTAGGTTACTCCAAATTGGATAGAGACTGGCATCCATTCATTGACCTCATTCTTCTGTGAGAACTGGCATGTCCCCACAAAATACTTTGACACTGTTGTAATTTCTTTCTTTGTGGCCTCTGCTGTAGTCTGTGTCTGTCCCCAAGAGTGACAGCTTCAGCGTGGCAAGCATGTTAAATCCCTCTAGTATGCTAATACTTACAGTATCTTCTTCTCCGGTTTTCTTAAAGCTTTAAAAAAAGCTGGGGCTGTGGGACAGAGAGAACTGCCAAAGAAAAAGCTGCGTACAGTGTGCTGAAGGCAGAAATGAAGAAATTAGGCCCTATCTCTTACGCTGAATTCAATGTCCTCCTCATGTTTGTGTTGCTGGTGCTCTTGTGGTTTTCTAGACACCCAGGCTTTGTAAAAGGCTGGGCAACTAGGCTCTTCCCAGAAGGAGAAAAGTAAGTTTTTATGTTTCTTTCCATCCTTTACCCTCTTGGTTGTGAATAAGATTAATTGATCTATGGTTTGACAGTTTGTACTGCAGTGAAGGCTGGAGACTGGGAGATGGAGCAAGCTGAACCTTTTAAAGGAAGAGAAAATTCTGTAATGCTGGTCTCAGTCATACTGACATATACCTTGGTATTTTGTTTTGCATGAGCTTCAGTCAGCTGTGGTGGCAATATCACCTCTAACCAATACCTTAGAACTCACTGGAAAATTGATTTTGTGCTTTGAGTTCTTTGCATTGTGTGGCACGTTAAGGACATCAAATGCATGTTGGACCTGTCATTCAGGCCATTTCTTTACATGTCTGTCTCTTGAGATACAGCTGTTGAATCTTGGCTTCAGCACAGAGAAGGAACCCTGCTCAAGGAGCCATTTTCATCTGGGACTCTGGTTATTAATGTGTATTGTAGCTCATTTCTTTTATTACTGTGTTTACATTCTGGCAGGTCTGAGAGACCCTCAGATATGGGCTAATGACCTGTTTTGTTCAAGTGCCAGCCCCAAATAGGATGGCAAAGACCAGTGACTGGGATGCTGGAAGGCAGCCCTCTTCTAAGAGAAAGATGTCCATTTTCTAAGCTGTATTCTCTTTTCTTTGTTAGGTATATCACTGATTCTGCTCCTGCTGTGTTTATCGCCCTGCTACTGTTTATCCTTCCTGCTCATAAGCCCAAATTCATAGCATGGAATTCAAGCATGTCTGACCCTGAACAGACTGAAGAAGGTATTTAAAAGAGGGATTGCAACATTGCGAAACAACTGGCCAGTTCGGTTAAGGAGGCAGAAACCTGCACTGGATTTGCATGCAGTTCTTAGAGCAGCTCACCTCCCTCACTTGTTGGCAAGTGAGGGTCCCTGCTCGTGTGTGTTACCCTCACCCTGTGCAGGTTTCTCAGTAATGTGCGTCTGCCCACTGGTATCTTATAGAACAGGAGACAAAGTGTCTTCACACTCCTAAAAAATGTTCTACTTTTCATTTCTCACTTCAGATATAAAAAAGCCATTTTTATCAGCCCCGCTGCTAGACTGGAATGTGGTTCAGAGGAAGATGCCCTGGAGCATTGTGCTGCTGCTGGGAGGAGGTTTTGCTTTGGCTGATGCAAGTGCAGTATGTCCTGACTTCTGTTTTTCTCTGACTCAAAGGCGAACTTCCCTGGTTTGTTATCTAGTCCTGTATTACTGGGCATGCACCCAAAGCCAAACCCAGTAGAGATGTTCAGATCTGAAGGCAGATCTTAATTACCAAAAACTGTGAGGAGAGGTGAATGTTTGTGACTCTTTTTCGTGAATTTTTGTGCTCTGATCAAGTTTCTTTATTTTACCTCTTGGAGGCTGACGAGTAGCTTGGGATCTTCACTGGATGGATGTCCAGAAAAGCATCCTTTCTTATTTCTGTAATCATCCCAATCCCAGCCCTGGCTAGAAAAACAGAAGTATAGATAACACTTGTAAGATTTTCAGACCCATTTGAGGTTTGTTCAAAAGTTATATATCTTCAGACTTAAACCGAAACTACTACTGAAGTGGTCAGAAAGAAAATCATTGTGGTAGGTATCTCCCAAAACTCTGTACAGTGGGGTTTCTTGAACTTCTTGTCAGTGGCTATTGCCAGGCTTCATTCCATAAGCTTATGCTTTGATCCTGTATTCATAAATTCACAGAAAAGGCATCTGAATTCCCAAACAGGAAAGAATCTTGAGGTGAACCGTATTGTTCCCTTCATCACTGCTAAAATGCATCTAAATCAAAGCAAGCCTTAGCTATCAGCAGTGCCATGCTTTGGGGAAATTAATGTTCACGTCTAAGTTTTGTGGCTAATTAGGTTTAAACCATGGGGCACATGAAAGCTCTAGAGCCTTACATTCATCTACATACATCACACATAAATTACTAAATCTCAGCAGCATTAGAAGCCATCAAGTCAGAGGTTTTATAAGCTGTTTGAGTCAACTACTCCCTGTGTTCCTACAATAGAGCATTTGTACAGAATCATTATCTTCAGAAGCTATAGAAAAACATGCTAGGAAGCTTCTGGGTCATATATTAAGTATTTGCAATAGTCTCAGAAATAATTGTTTCTGTTTAGCAAAAAAACCCATAATTTTATAACCAAAATGTGAGCAAGCTTCTTGGCTTCCAGAAGAATCAGAATAATGGGATTCAGTATTATGTCTAGCTGACAAAGAATTGCTTCTAGTGTTCGTGACAGATCATTGTACTTTCCTGTATTATGTAATTCAGGACTCATTTTGCATTATTTTATAGGAGTGTTGCACATAACATGACTTCCCTGTTCGTGAGTCAGGGGTTCTCAGCCTCACTGAAATCCCCTTTTTTTTCTTGTCAGAACTCTGGTCTCTCAGCTTGGCTGGGTCATCAAATGACTCCTCTGGGATCTATCCCCCCATGGGCCATTGCAACAGTGCTCTCGCTGATTATCGCTGTCTTCACCGAGTGCACCAGCAACGTCGCCACGGCCACTCTCTTCCTGCCTGTCTTTTCATCCATGGTAAGATTACTTCCATCCTGTTACCCTGTCAGATGGGAGATCAGAGTTAACCTGACAGTCTGGGTGGCAAAGCAATGTTATATTTATTGTCTTGGATGTTTCTTCGGTGTTTTCTCACTGGAAAGGAAGCCAGATCATGAAGTGAGAGTCACTTTTTCAATACAGGTCAGCAAACAGCAGTTACTTCTGGTCATTTTGCATTTGACCCGTCAACTTAGAACTGCAGAACACACACACACAAAACCCAAACCAAACCAAAATCCAGCACTTTCTGATTATGCCTTTGAATGATTCATCTTCACGTTTTTGTGCTAAAATACACAAAGTGGCAGGCCTGATTATGAGAAATGTGTCATTTCCCATAGGAAGACAGAACAATTTTAAAACTTACACAGGAAAATTTGGTAAGTTTCGCTGCCTTTTCTGAGTAGAATTCAAACTATAGCATAAAGGAGAAAATAGATTACTTTGTTCTTTAATTTGGAAAGTACAAGCACTTTATTCTAGACCATTTCATCACAATAAAATAACCCCAGTCAAGGTACTGAACTATTAGTGACTTGAATTGGCACTTAAATTCTGAGTCCCACAGAGTTTATGTAAAGTCTAAGAGTGTAACTCCATGTGCCTAGTAATTATAATCCAATCCCTCTGTTCCCTGGCAAAAGGGTTGTTCGAGGTCAAAGAAAAGATTGTTGGATATATTTGACCAGAACTCCAAATTATACCATAGAGCAAAACAAACAACAAGAAAGTATCAAGCCTTGTTTTTCAGTATTGTGGGACAGGAAACAACAGCAAAGTTATCTTTAAGCACACATGGATTTCAGAATAAAATGTTTGTAAATTACTCTGGTGATGTAATGCCAGGAAACAAAATGAACCTGTGTGTCTCGGTGGTCTGGGATCAATTGATCCTTTACGCTTTTCTTTTGAAAGACCTCCAGTGTGATATTCTCTCCATTTCTTTGCAGGCTACATCTGTCAAGATCCACCCTTTGTATGTTATGCTGCCTGGTACTCTCAGTGCTTCCTTTGCCTTCATGCTACCTGTTGCAACACCACCAAATGCAATAGTGTTTTCCTATGGCCACATCCGTGTTTTGGATATGGTAAGATGATAATTGCCTGGTCTCTTATCTGACACTCTTCACTGCCTTTATCCTAAAATCTGGTGAGAGTTTCATTTTCTTTGCCAAGTATTTCCAAAGTACTGAAAGCTCTTATGGGGTGTAACTACCACCCTATGCCCTTCTCTTCTGCAGTGTTAATATTGTGATAAAGATTTGCATCTCTGAAGTAACAGTACTCTTCTCACAGGCTTTGGCAGACATACAGTGCAGCCCAAATAAAATGAAAAACTGACAAGTCATAAGTCTCTGAAACCTGAAGGGTTAAAGTGCAGGCGGTGCTCTGTAGTGTTCTGGGGCTTTGGACAGAGTGTCTGAGGCTTTGTCTCCACTGGAGCTCAAAGCAGAAGGCAGCAATCAGGAGCCCTCAGCTCTGGTCCTCTGATTGCCTGCCAGACCACACAGGGCAGGTTCTGGGCGGAACACCCAAACATTATTGGTTTTCTAACTGGAGACTTGAGGACAGCAGAAGCTGTTCTCTAACTAATAAGAACAGCTTGTTGTACATACCTTAAAGCTCCTAGACTGGTTATATAGATAGCAAAGTGTTCAAAGGCTTTGCACAGTGTGTTCCCTGGTATATCCACCTAAGCAAGAGCATAAGGCAGTGGCTAAAATGGCTACTTCTGTGATGTATTTGACCATCTTTTTGTGTATGTACAAACAGGCCTTGCTGCAGTTTACTGTGCTGGTGTTTAGGTGTTGCTGGTTTGGACTTGCTGTGCTGATATTTGATTATTGTTGTTGGTTTGGACTTTTTTCCTCACAGGTTAGATCTGGAATAGTGATGAACATCATTGGAGTCTTCTGTGTCACACTGGCCATCAACACATGGGGAAGACCTATGTTTGAGCTGGACACATTCCCAGCCTGGGCAAACAGCACAATGAACCAGTGAACAGTGAAGAATTCGTGTGTTAAACAAGGAAAGCACCCTTAATACTACTCCCTATTGCCCGAAGTCCTGTATAGAGTCTCATCACCACTTCAGATCCAGTGTTAGGTGTTTGCTGCCTTCCAGCAGTTACACCTCAGTTCAGGCTTGACCCAACTCAAACTTACTCCAGTCGTGCTGGAGCCAAAAGTGTTGTTCAGCTACACAACCCTAAGGAACATGTGTCTAGATCATAAGTATGATCACGTGATCCATTGTACCTCCAATCAAGGTCAAGAATTAGAATTTATTGAACTTTCCATAAAGAGAAGGGAGGCTGTTGTATCAAATGGTTTGAACTTTTATATCACTGGCATGTACTTGTAAATCATTAGCATTGAACACTGCACTCAGGCAGGGGCTGAATATTCCTTGACTATTTCTTATATTCACAAGTCAGCAACCATACAGAGAAATCACTGTGATCACTTGTTTAGGGAAAAGGGGAATGCTGCATTATGCTGTGTTATGTTTGAGTTAGGCCTCAGCCATGTGGTGGGATCCTTCCAAGTCAACATCCAACATGCTTTCTCTTGCCTTGTTTTCACTCCCAAATCTCACTGCATTTAGACACCTTTATTGAGGGCTGAGATAACATAATTCTGTGCTGGTCATGATTCAGCTGATGTCTTGGGTAAGGATGCATTAAGGCTGGCTCTCTGTTTCTTGCACTGTGGTACTGTCAGGGCCAGGAGCCTTTTCCTCTCTCAGCCACAAATGTGGTTTCACATGCCAACTAGAGTTTTCTGAGTGCCAGCCTGGAGATGACCAGTGGCCTACAGGACTTCACACCTATTGCCAAAGTTCCTGGATTAGCCCCTGATGTGCCTTATTAATTAACTCTGGAATTTTGGAGTGAAGTCAAGACATGAGAAAGGCTCTAATTGATGACCTGGTAAAAATTTAGGGACCAGATGTTAAGGCTTGTGCTGGCTGACAGCAATGGGAGTTGTTTTGTGTACTTTGGAATTCATATCTTGGGAGGAAAGTGTTTTGTAGCACCTCTTTATGCCATTTATGGAACTGAAGTAACCTACAGAATGATTGTTATTGTGCTGGGTGTATTTTGTCAGTGGTACGTGGATGCTTTTCGTTCAGCCTTGGAGATGGAGGTGGGTGGGAGATAAGGCAGTGTCTTATAGCGGAGAGATCTGTGGCTGTGACCTGAGTTCTGCTCCCAGACTTTCTGTGCAGCCCCATGCAAGTCAGTTCACCTCTTTTTGCCTATTTCCCCTCCTGAAGAAGATGTCATAGAACCTATCTACCTCACCAAGGTGGTGTGAGGACATAAGGGTCAAATTCTGCACCCACAGTGGTTTCCCACCTCATGATAAGGTGCAAGGTACAAGTTGTAGAATTATAGAATTCTGTCCGGAAGATCTGGCATATAGCATAGTAGTGTGTGTAGGATATTTAAATAGTTTTCTTATGAATGTGAATGTTCTTTATGGAACTGGAAAAATATTCACATTTTTATCTAAAATTGACGAAAGTATTTATCCACAAAATGTCCAGGTGCTTTTCTAAGCAGAAAACTGCTTCAGCAATTGATTTTTGTGCCTTTATCTTCTGTGCTCTTTCAAGGTGCTAAGCACCATAAGCTCTCCACTGACTGTTGTTCCTGGGTGCCTCCAGTAGCTCCCTGTCTGGCTGCATGTGGTGCAGTGTCATACCTCTTCCAGGGAATGGTGGAGCATGTGGATAAACACAGTTCCACTTGCAGAGTGTATCTAAGGAAGAGGCTAGTTCTAGGGCCAAGAAGTGGCTTGGTCACTGATGTTTGTCACCACCTGAAACTTATCACAGTATTTGCTTGAAGAAAGTGAAACCAGGAACAACTGAGCACCTTCTGTGCTTTAGCAGTCACCACTCAATGCTAATTTGCAGGTATCTAAACATGATTGAGAAAGGGACTTTTTCTGCCTTCTGATTGACTTCACAGTGTGAGAACATATAACTGCTGCCAGGTACTCCATGGTGCTTACTCTGCTCTATTGCAAGTAAGATACAGGGGAGCTTGCATAGGTGGGTGACACTAAGCTTGGCTATTTCAGTTCACGCAGACCCAAACTCCTCTAAAACCAGTTCCAGCTAAAAGTTGTAGGACAGACACTTCCCTGTCCTGTTTGCAGAAAGGAACGTTCTGAAAGTTGCCCTCACCCCAGCTTCCCTCTGTTGCTGGGCAAGTAGGAAGCAAATGCTATTTTCATCAACAGTCACACAGGGTGATTTAGCGTCAGGAGTGCTGGGCCAGGGGAAGCATACATGTGCGGTAATAGAGTGTTGGGTTTATTGTAACTGGGATATATTTGCTGTGTCACCTCTCTGTATACTGTTAATAGCAAAGGTTTCTTTTTGAGACACTTTTTTGACATCCTGTGATTGATTTGTATTTAATTTAAATGGGTGGGTTGCAGAATTAGAGCCTGGCAAATAAAAACTTCCTAGAACTGTCTCCTCTCTGGCATGGGTTGTTTCCTGTGTAACACCATGGACCACTTGTTTCTGCATTAGCTTCCACTGTAGCTTGGTGTTGCTCCAGTAAGATCTAGGAGGGTACATGCTGTAGTGAATCACTGCAAAGCAGAGATTTGGACATCACTGTAAGTGTCTTTGGACCTGAATATCAATGGTTCCTTCTCTTTCCTCAGCTGAGTGAGAACTCAAGTTTGCATCTCTGAAGATGTTCGGGTTGGACCAAATCAGGTGGCATACCCTGCAAACTGTCTCATTCATTTCAGAGTAAAGGATTATAAGAATCTAAGAAACACAATTAGTTTTTCAGAATTAATCTTGTACAAACTCTCCAGCATAACAGGCACAAACAGGCTTTTTTCAGTGTCAAGCATGCATGGTGTCCTGTTCCAATGCCCTGAGTAAATACATTACCTACAATGGGCAATGCAAGGACAATTGCTTTGTGACTGGAGCTCACTTACAGCCCCTTCCAGCACTGCAGGACAAGTATCATGACAGACACTCGTCAGGCATGGCATTTATTTTGTTGCCCATCAAAGGGTTATTGTTTTAGGTGCAGAAGTTTTGATAGTCCTAAGGTAGTGGCATAAAGGAATGCCTTTGCACCTCACTTCAAAACATGCACCCTTAGTGCCCCCAAAGAACACGGGAGGATCCTCAGTTTGGGCTATGTGAGGGCAGGTTACTCAGCCACCGCGAGGGAGCAAACAGTTCCCATTTTCCCATCCTTGGACAGAGTGGGATTCCTCATGGTCAGTGGGTCTGTCAGCTGGCCAGCTGGCAGTGCCACCTCTAAGGAGCTAAATTAATGTTTTCCTATTTTCTGTTCACTCTCTCTAGATCCTTGGTTTGTCCTTTCTTCTCTGAAAATACCAAGTTGCTAAAGCTGTTTCTGCAACTGCTGAATGTCCCAAACCCGGAGAGTTGGGATCTGAGCTGCTGTCACATGGGGCTCCTTCTCGGTCACATACCTGTGTGCAGACTTGTTCCCACAATGTGACAGTGATTGGGAATGGTCCCATAATTGTGAATGAGCTCATGAAAGAGCAAACTACAGGAAAACATACAAAAGGAAGACAAAGGTATTTCCTACCCATGTGTTGAACATCTAGATCTGTGGAGAGGAAAAACCTTTCAGCATTTTCTATATGATCTAGAAATCCCCAAGCTGAAAAAGGGTTCAGGTTGCTTGGTGTCATCCACTGAACTCCAAGCAGCAGGTGGTTCATTCCAGCTGAGTTCCGATCTCAGTTGAACTCAGTCTTTGGTTTATTAAGCCTTTGTTTTCCAGCTCAGGTGTGTTAACACTTGAAAGAGCAATAATCTGGTTGTAGCCAAAACCAACATTTGCTGACAAAATTGGAATTGGACAGTTGGTGCAAATCATCCCAGAAAAAAAACAGATCACTGAGTCAGTCGTAGCCAAAATCCAACAGTCGTTCCTTGACACAGCACCTCTTCCTTTTTAGTAATGACATATCGTATACATTTTTACATACTTCACATTTCCCCCCCCCCAGAATGTCTGTGCTAAATATGGAAAGAAGTGGGTAGTAATGAATCCTGAGCACTTGGATCAAGTGAGAGAGTTTTCACAATGTTTTCCAGTGTGGGTGAGTAAACGTGTGTTAGTCAGGGCTCAGTCTGACTGTGCCACTGAGAGCTCTTCAACATTTTGTGCCTTGCACCACAACCCCACCAGCCTGCTGCCAGGCACTTGCTGGGCTCAGTGTTTGTGTGCATGGTTTAATGGCAGGGTGCTGGTTCTCCTCTGTCCAGAAGAATCATCCCAGTGGCAGCTCTTCTGCCCCAGATCAGACTTTCCCCTTTGTGTTTCTTTGCTGGCCCCTGTGTGAAGGGTCTGTGCACAGGGAGTCCCCTGGCATGCACTGCAGACTGTCTCTGTTTGACAGCGGAATTCTGAGGGAAGTGCAGCTCCCACCATTGGGAGCACAGAGGTGTTCCATGCTGCTCTGAGGTGAACAGGGACTGCTTAATACAACCTTTGGTAGCTCTTTAAAACAGAGCTGACTATACTGACACTATTTTTTGCCACTTAGGTTTTTCTGGAGCACTAAGTCAATAGTTGTCCATTCATTATGGTGTAAATGTAGGTTTACCTCTAGGACTGTAGGTTCTGGCCATTAGAAAGAGACTGTTTCTTTTGTGAGAGAAAAGGTGTTATCCTTCTCCAGTTTACTTCAGTGTTTTATTTACCCACAAGAAATTACTTGCCTTATTTGTCATATGGAATTTCAATGAGTTTTCGTAAGCTGTTTCAGGTGAGTGTGTGAGCCTCATTACAGAGTTCATAAAACATTTTTTTATAGACAAGCCATTTTCTTGAAGGAACTGAACGTTCCAGATACTAAGTCTAGTTTGTTGTAGTTTCCTTTGTGAGCTATTCTTTGTGAACAATAACTTGGGTTGGGTCTTAGCAAATATTTTAGAAAGCCAGCTGAAGATCAAATTTCCACCAGAAACAAAGTGAACAAAATCTTTCAGTTAATGAATGATTATTTCTGGAGGAAGTTTCTATTTTACTTCAATATTTTGCCTTGGCTACACAGTCAGAAATCAGAAACTTGAGATTTTTTTTTTATTTTTGGGCACAACACTAAGCATAGTTGTCCTTCAGTTGGGAAAACAGAATTTCCTCTGAAAAAAGGAGATGGGGATAAAGGGAACAGGGGGAGCAGAACACAGGACACTTTAGCTCCTTTTTTAATAACAAACAATGGGGGAAAATCAACATAAACTTTCCTGGGAGCATCCTCCACAAACAAAAAATTGTCTCATCCTGTCTCATTTCAGAGCTCATCTTTGACTGTTTTCATTCATCTCTTTCTGCAGATATAAGTCTGATCAATACAGAGCAAATCTATGTCACCCGAGGAGACCTAAAATACAGAGTTAGTGTCACCCTTCTGGGGTCTCATATTGGGGAATAACTTCAGCCCTGTTTGAAGAGTGGTCAGATAAATAAATCGTTAATGTTTTGGGGGTGATCTTGGCCCATCTCTTTGTTTTGTTTATCCATTTGTTGGTTTTATTTTGGGGTGACTTAAATTGATGATGACCAATACTTTGGGACTTAATTAGGTGCAGGTGTCCTCATGAAACACCTATCAGATCTTTCCCAATTTATAAATTTCCCTGCAGCAGCATCCTTCTGTGGGGGGTTATTTCACTTATTGCTCTGTGTTTGACTTGATCTGTCAGTAGACTGGGGGCTGCACAATACATTAAAGTCATGGAGATGGTCAGAATTCTGTCTCCTGAGGAACATTTAAGGAATGGAAATTACAACAGGTAAGTGGTTTTGGTTTTTGTTGGTGGTAGTTGTTTGGTTTTTTCTTTCTTTGTTGTTGTTGGGGTTTTTTTCCCACAGTAGTTTGATTCCACTTACCAGCAGGACTCAAAAGATCAGGAAAATGACCCTGATGAACACTGAGAGGCATGAATGCCTGTCCTTATTAACAACATGCTGATGAGATCTCCTAGTTAATACGCTTTACAAGCCTGTGCAGCTGGGTCTTCTTGGTGAACAGAAAACTGCCACAGTACCAAAACCTCCTGTAAAGAAAGTGCTGGGGCTGTTGCAGTAAAGCTTGGTCAGAAAGAGCCTATAATGGTGGACCCTCGAAACCTCCTTACTCAGAGATTAACCGAAGATGTGTGTGGAACCGGGACTGCTGGGCTAGTGCTTGCTCCTGCAATTCCTGCCCTTTGCAGATTGCAGCAAGAAATTATAGGATTAAAGCCTATTTTGACTATTCTTCCAGAACTGGGAATAGATTTCAGGAATACTGCTGTTCAAAGAATGGGCAAGATGCACTTAGGAGCATTCAGAAGCATCAAGAAAGACTATGAGATGCCTCTTCCCTGACTGGAAAGAACAACCTATGAATAACAGCTTCCCTCTACTGAACTGCTCTGCGCAGGAGCTATTAAAGGTTCAGTGTGACTATTGGTGGCACTTATTAAGACAACTCTAGGTGAATGGCAACAAGAAAAATTGTTGCTGAACAGCTATGGCACCCTGCAGGTGATTTGCAGAGCAGCTGCCATGAGTATGCTGTGATTTAGGACAAAGCTTGGCAGAGACTTTTTTTATCTTCCTCTCTCTTCCAAAATACTAAAACAAGCCTTTCTGTGCAAGGAATGGGGATGATGTTGGCATTCCCAGCAAAAGAAACTGGTATCCTTGAATATTGTTCCTGGCAAAGTGGCCTAGGAAAAGGAGTAGATTGAAAAACCAAAAGGCTATTCTCACTGAGCAAGAAAAACTGCTAACAAACAGATATATTACCAATTGTAATATATGGACAAGGCAACAAGAGAGCTGGAAGAAACCACCCCAGAGAAACTGGTTTTGTGATGATTAATCTCAAAATACTTTAATTAAAATTTTAAAGGTGTGCTTTATACTTTTGTGTACTTACTCATAAGCTCCAAGTTACTTCATGTTACATAAGTTTGTGTTAGACATAATTCCAGCACACTCTACTGAGGGCCTGGCATTTAAAGGTTCTAGCCTTGCCACAAGAGGTATATTTAGGTTTACTTCAAAAGGAATTTGCCCAAATTCTGTATAATCTTGCTCTAAGCACTGGCCGGTTGACTAGTGTGCAGCTAAAGAGAGGGTTTATATTCTTGCTAAATATTGATGTAGGCATCTGTGAAACTGTAACTATTTGTGCACCACCTTTGCAATGACCAAGAATTAAAGTTATTTTCATCCTTAGTGGGTGAGGTTGTGGGTGACTGTACAGAATATTTAGTTTTACTTGCCAACAGGAAGGAATCTCACTAATCATATTTCCATTATTGGAGACCACACGCTTTCAGCTCTCTTCTTTATAAAAGTGACTGTAGTGCTGGTCCATGTGAGTGTACCTATTAGTTTCAGCACCAAATTAACTATTTATTTCCTACTTGCTGAATACAGTCTAAATGTATTATAAAATAAAGGGGATGCATTTTTCATTAATTCCAAATTCATGCCAATGATTCCCTTAGTTTTATACGTAATTCTTTCTGGTGTTTTCCCTACACCCTTCTGCTCAGTGCCACCATAGAAGAGCTTAAAAATGAAACAGGGTAGAAAGTGGCTCAAACTACGTCATTATTGAAGTATTATTTGAAAAATTGCATAACAGTAATGCTAATCCAAAATATAATGAGAATAAGTGACATTATTCATATCTGTAGCCATTATATAATAACACTTTATTGTTCTGCAAGCTTGTCCATGTATTTTGGACTTGGGAAGTTTTACATTCCTTCATTATTGGGAATTAGTTGCTTCTGGTCTGCTTGGCATTCAATGGGTTAAGAGTTCCTTCAGATCAGGCCCCATATGTATCCTGGCTCCCTGCATAATTCTTTCCTTAGAGTACCTACGGAAGGGCTCCCAACAGCAGCAATACCTTTGGGAAGGTGTTCCTTACAGACCAGAGTTCTGGGGTCAATGCATATTGCTCCTGGCAAATGGCTGACTTCAAATTCACCTGCTGTCCAAGTACCCTATAGAAGCCTGATGTATTTTTAACCAACTTATTAATGAAAACATAAAATGCTTTCTGACACTCAACATTTAATCTTGAATATATCTTTGAATTCTAATGCTGTCTGAAGCTAGAGGAATACCATAGTCACAGAAGTACCTCTGCTGGTGTCTGCAATAAGGCAGTCTCTTTACACTGTTTCACCCAATTTGCAGCTCCCTTGGATGGTGTTTGGCATTTGCAAATTAAGATGGTTCTACCATGACTGTCACTGGCTGGCTTTTGAAATGCACGTTACCTGGCGGTTCCTTGACCTCAAAAACCAGAACTCAGTGAAGAGTTAAGCCTTTAATTAAGTATGTTCTGACAATTGCTTTAGTCACTGAAAACTATGATCTTGTTTCTATTGACTTACAATTATAGCATTGGAGTAAAAAAATTGCAGACTTTGTACTGGCTTGTTATAAATATAACATAATGCATACTCTGTTTTCTGTTTCTTAACCATATTTGAAGCAGTAGACTCTCCAGTCTGCAGGAGTCTATCTTGCATTCTATGGGTAAAATCCTGTCACATGTTGTCCGTGTCAATACCAGTTTGTATTCTATTCCAAAGCAGTGGGTATATGCGTGAACAAAACGGGATGTCTTGGGTTTCACACACTGAGTGTACAGCACTTCACTGTTTCATCCCACTTGATCAGTTTTCAGTGATGAAATTGCTGGACTTTCTTTTCTCTCTGGTGCAAATGCACTGCACTGTGGGGTCACAGATAAACCTTATGCAGCATCTCACTTCCTCTGTGTCCACTTTCAAGATCTAACAACACGTTAGACAACACTATTGTCTCCTGTGTCTCATGGAGCCTTGGTGCCTTCAAGTCCCAGAAGTGGCTCCATTTAAGGGCTGTGTCTCTATGCCAGTTCTAATGAGTTAAGTTATACTTGTCATAAACCATCCCCTTTCTGGGCAGGCAACAGCAGCAATGACAGTTTGGTCCCTATGAAAGGAGAAACTGAGGCAGCGATATCATCCTGGTTACACAATAATATGAAAAATTCCTGGCTCACAGTGATATGTTAACACTTATATCCTGAAAGTTTGACTCACCTGACAGGAAAAAAATAGAAAAAATTTAAAACTTTTCCTTGAGAAAATTCTAGTTAGTATATTACGATCCTTTCAATTTTGTTCTTAGTTTTGATGGATAAGAATTGAGATGTTTGACTTAACTCTGGCAAACCTACATAGTAGTTTATTCATGTGACCAATCCTTTTTTAGGATTCTCTCCTCTGAAGTTGGTCTTGGGAGAGAAATCACATTCCAGAATAGCAATGCAGACACGTGGGATCTATTTGATCTCTGCTTTTAGCCTGAAGTCTGTATTTACTGGGGAGTGACTTGTTATGTTTTGATATAGTAATAGTAGTATTCCACAACCACTAAAATGTCTAAAAAAGCAACCATATTTTATTACAAAAAACTATGCATAGATCCTTTTTAGATGGTTTTTGTAATCCAATTCCCAGGGGAAAAAATCATACTGCATAAGAAAAGATAGTATTATAGAAAATTGCTAACTCTGAAGCTGAAAATACTTCAGGAAATGAAAATAGAAAATAATTTAAAAGTAAAAGGGGAAGAAATGAGACAGGTACATCTGTAGAGATGGCTTCCCACTAATGGAGCATTTGCTTATTAATGATTTTAGTCTGAGACAGTTGTGTTTTAATTAATGAAGAATTAAGTGCAGAGGTTGACACAATCTCCTTGCCTGACTGTAAAGTCACTATGAAAAAGAAAACAAAGCCAAAGCTCAAAACTTTGCCCAATATGCAGAAAGAAAATAATAAATCAAAGCAGCTTAGTATTTTAGGGTTGAGTCTTTCCACTACCCTTGCTCTGGAAGTGATCAACAGTGACTGGTCTAGTACAAAGCTAAGATGAATGTTCTGCAAATACAAACACGAGTTCCTCCTCTTTTTATCCTTCCCAGCTTAAGGTTTATCTGGGGAAAAACCAGGCCTAGAACATTGACCCCAGAGCCACCTTCTGATGGCTCTGGGACTGACCAGCCTCTGTGGCACATGGACAAAATGCGGCCCTTGTTCCTGTTCGGGAACAGGCGTAGGAACTGCATCCCAGAATGTTACTCCACCTGCCCTGGATCCCGCTGGCCCAGCAGCACATGTGGGACTGGTTTCCCCCCTGCACGGCGGGGAGCAGCGTCCTCGGGGCAAAGCCAATGATGTAAAACCAAACGTTGGTCGTTTAAAATCAGTTTGTTACCAGTACACTGGTTTGTACTGTGATTTCTGAGTTCTTTGGGGTTTGCCGTGAGCTGCAGCAGAGCACCATGAGAAGGGAGGAATTTGTACAGTGGCATATTCAGTGTGGAGTTTATTTGGACCAAGTGGGATCTCTGAACAGATAACGCGATGATCAGCTGCTGTAACCCGGCAGGAGCTGCTCCCTCATCCGTGGAAGGATCGGGATGCTGTTTGTTGTGCTCCGCTCCCAGTTCCTGAATGCCTACAGGTTTCTGTGCGATATCGGTACGAGGGAAGTGCTCGCTCCGAGCAGCGTGCGGGGAACTGCGGGCACTCGTGTGTGCGGAAACCCAACACTTAAGGAGCACTCGTCCGTGGGGTGCTGTTTCAGTCCCCGGGGACGGCCGCGGAACGGAGATGCTGTCGGCGAACAGCTGGAAAAGGGAAGGGACGTTCTCCCGGGCACCGCCCCCGCAGCGGGACCCGCCCCGATACCGCCGTTGCTGGGCAACCGCCGTTGCTGGGCAACCGCCGTTGCTGGGCAACCGCCGTTGCTGGGCAACCGCCGTTGCTGGGCAACCGCCGTTGCTGGGCAACCGCCGCCGCGCTCCCGGCGTGCTCCGCGCCGCGCTCGGGCCTGTGGCGGGGGCGCGCCCGCCGCCATCTCGTGCCCGCGGCCTGGACATGGATGCAGGTGCGGGGCCGGGACGGGGCCGCCGTCGGAGCCTCCTGGGCCCTCGGAGCGCCGGCTCTGCCGGGACCGCGCAGGCCGAGTGCTCGCGGCCCGGGAGAGGCCACACGGGCGCTGGGGCCGCTCTGAGCCCGCAGCCCCGGAAGGCCCCGCACGTTCCTGCCCCCGGCCGGGGCCGCGTTTGTCCCGGGTGACACCCTGACCGCGATTACTTTCAAATCTATTGTGTGGGTCCAATTCTTACTGTTTTTCTCTTGTATCAGATGATACAGGAAATCGACTTCGATTCCAGCTGGAGTTGGAGTTTGTTCAATGTCTGGCAAATCCAAATTACCTCAACTGTGAGTACTTAAATACCAGAACCCTAAGGTTAATATAGTTTAATGTTGTTTAATATTACTAGTAATGTTAAACAGGGAGAGAGGGTTAAACAAAGAAAAGGGAGTGGGTCTTTCACAGCATAAAGATAGTCTGTAAATAATTTGCCTGTTTAACAGGTAGTTTTTTTTAAAATGCAAAGTCTTACTTGTTGAAATGCAAAAAGCATCTATTTGGTGGAGAAAAAATAAATTCAAGTCTGTTATTAAATAGTAATGTTAGCAGCATTCCTTTATCTGAAAACAGAATATTACTACTGTGAATAGTTTCAGGTACTATCCTTAACTCCCTGCTAATTTTGATGCTACAGTCAAAAATTTCCTGTTTCAAAAAACTGTTCCATTGTATGAAAGATACAAACTGTAAGAGAAGTGAGAGTAATTTATTATTTTGTTGACATAAAAGTCTTAGTTTTCTCTGTGGTTTTTATTTGTCCAATATAAATTATCAAAATTCAATTGTAATGATAAAGTTTTTATTCTGTGAATAGGTGTTCTTCAAGTGTGCAGATTTTTTTCAACCATCTGTAACTGACAATTCCTTGTCATTTTATTTCAGTTCTTGCACAAAGAGGCTACTTCAAAGACAAAGCTTTTGTAAATTATCTTAAATATTTACTTTATTGGAAAGAACCTGAATATGCAAAATACCTGAAGTAAGTGATAAAATCCCTTAGGTTTCTGTATTTTAATGGTTTGGCATTGACCTCCTGTTATGTACCGTATAGCAGCATGTCAGGGTTTGGTTTCTGCCTGTAACCTTACCTTTGGCCTCCCTGCTGGGGTTATATGCAGCGTAGATTCTCCTCTTTCCGCCAGTCTGAATGTAGCAGGAATGGGCAAAATTATAAAACTCGTATCTCACGAGTTGTGTGTGGAATCTTCCTTTACAGCCGTTATCTGCACTTTCCATTGGTTTAAAGCTGTTGAACATTAGGGTACTACTTCAGTTAGGCCCCACAAGTGCATTTTAAGATTAATTTTGCATTGTCGATGCTTACATGAGAAAAAGGATGACTTTGTGTTTTTGCAAATGTGCAAATTCCTTCAGTTTTTGGGAAAATGTTTTTTGTCATGTTCTTTCAAACGGGCTCTGGAAACAGGTGTTGTAATTGTTATAGATTTGCTGTATCAAACCGAGCCATTGGGGAAGCTCGTCTAAGCAAGCAGGAATGTGCATTTGCAAACTGGACTGGCCTTGTTTCCTGGCCTGATGCTGCAGTTACCAAGTCAGTGTGTGGAATGTGTGCAGGCTGAAGGGGTTTCACACTTGGGTAAAGCACATACATGACAACACTAAAGTAATGACCTTCAAAAGTACTGGAGACTCCAGATTTAGTGTCCCTTGTAAAAAGCTGTATTAATGTGTGTTTATTTTTAATTCAGGTATCCTCAGTGTTTGCATATGTTAGAGCTGCTCCAGTATGAACATTTCCGCAAAGAACTGGTCAATGCTCAGTGTGCCAAATTTATTGATGAGCAACAGATCCTCCACTGGCAGCACTATTCCCGGAAAAGGATGCGCCTCCAGCAGGCACTGGCTGAGCAGCAGCAGCAAAATAACACCTCTGTAAAATGAAAAGCACGTGGGGTAATCATGATAAGGTGTACTTTGTGTCAGTGAACTATTTACAGGAGAGGAATGAACCCTTGTGTAGGTTTGGCTCTGGATGTGTGTCCCTTTAATTTGGATTTATCAAATGACTGGGGTTGTTTTTGTTTCGTCAGCGCCTTTAGAGACTAATAAACACCTAATGCAATTTATTATGTAGCATGGACAATTTTGTAAGAGCTTTACTTAGCATTGTTACTGATTTCTCTTGATTTTGAAAACAAAACGGATTTGTTACTTACTGATATAACTATCTACAAAAAGTATAGCTCCAAAGGCTGTCCCTAGGAGGCCTTTTCTCTGGAGAATAATGATGTGTCTTAGCGTGACTGCTGCTTACAGCTGCGGGACAAGCAAAGGCAAAGTGATGATATTCTACAAAATCCAAATTGTGGGTTTTTTCCTTGAAACCAAGCTGAGCTATTACTTGTCATTTCTGTTTCCCTGGCAGTCATTGCTGCTGGGAGTTTGGCAGGGTTTTCCTTACACATATTGTACAGAGAGAAGTCAGTGTACAAGACAGGGAGTGGAGCAGAGGTAAGTGCTGATAGACTGTGCAGATATAGAAGGAAACGGGCTGTAGCTCCTTTCCATTAAACTCAGCTTCCTTGAATCTTGGCCTCTGCCCCTGCAGCAGTGGCTGCTCTGGGGCCTCTTTACAGTCCATGTAGTGAGAACAATGTGTGGAGGAAAGGTGTGTTGCTGCTTGGAATATTGGAGAAGCACTTGCTATTTATTCCTATATGTTTTTTATTGTAAGAACGCAGCTCTTGGCAGCTGTCAGGGTTTTAATTTTCATATTTCAGGCTGTATTTGTGGTGCATTCATGCTGCATTTCCTGTCCCTGTAGGAGCAGGTGCTCCAACTGTCAGCCATTAACATGCAATCAGTGACACTGTCAGCCTTCACCTTATCACACTTGGACTGAACAGAGAAGCCATTAAACATCTTTGGCATCGAAAATTTATCGTAACAGTATCAGTAGCTATGTGGTCAGATTTAGGAGGTACAAGGAGGTTTTTCTGTTTCTCCCCTTCCCCCTTACTCACTATGACAAATGTAACTTGGCAGTTATTGTTCAGTAAGCACAGGCTGCTCTCAGTCTCTAACATGAGCTCAACTCCTTTGAAAAGAGGCTGTTTACAAAGTCAAGTTTATTTGAACATGAAAGGAAAGATACAGTTTTTTGTTGTAAGACTTCAGTGTAAGGTTTGGACCCAGAATTTAATAACACTTCTCTTGACTAGTCTGAAGTAATTAACCATGAAAGTTTTAACAGAGGTCAATGATTCCTTGAAAGGACACTGCAGTAATTGAGATTACCATCTTCATCAATGATTGGCTAATGAGGGATTTAGTCTTCAGTAAACAACATCCGCACAAGCTCTGCTTTAAAACATTCTTCTTCAACCAGCTTCTGAGGCTGAAAGAGAAGTTGACAAGTTTTAGGGGCAATTCAAAAACCTGTTGCAGCCCAGAGCCATCTGTACACACTAATATTAGCCACACCCAGCAACTGTTGTCCTGGGGAGAGGGGTAAGTGAGGTGAAGCAAATGAGGTAAGAATAACTGAAACATTCCTCAGGGTTTTCTGACCTTGAAAGAGGCATTTCTAAGAAAGTAATTACTAATTTAAATAACATATACAAGTTAAAACTCGAGCTGCAGTCTGAGTCGAGTGTACTGCACATAACTTGTTTCACTCCCGTAATTCAGCGTTGGGATTTTTCAAAAGCTGAGGAGCTGCAAGTGAGGAAGCTTAACAGTATGTAGCTAAGAATTTTCTCAACCCCTCAAGCGCTACAAATCAAGTGTACATATTCGCTTTACTGCATGTTTATATTAGAGACAACATTACAGAGTGAGCAGAGTGGTTCTCTCTTGAGGACCTGTTTGAGGCAGGAGGACTGCATGGTGGGGGCTGTCCTGCATGTTCTGCTCTCCTTGAACAAGAGAGGGTTCTTGGAGAACTAATTCATTTACAGCCCTAAGCTCCTGCCACATCCCCATCTCAAGGCCTGTAGATCCAGAACATACATCAAATCACTTACTGTTCCATATTTAAGTAGTGTAGGCACTCCTGTTAGTTTCAGATTTCTCCTGAATTCATTGTTGGGATCCTTCCAGCTGTTCAGAAAGAAGGGGTTAAGCACAGCTTGTAGAGGGGCATTTTGAAGTTAAAATTTCTTCAAAGGGATGATTCAAAGGCCTTTGCCTCATGCCTTCCCAACCCATTTCTCAGAACAAGCATGCAGTTCACATTAGTGATGGTGAAGACCTCAAAAAAGGATTGATTCCTCACAGAAAAGGGCAGTTCAGTCAGTTTATTCAACGAGTTAGTTAACCACCAGTCCACCGATGGCAAAGTTATCCCAGTTGCTGGCATTCAAAGTTACTTACTAGGCTCTATCTCCCACTAGGCAGTAGATGAAAACCGACTCATCAGGCAGGTTATGAAGTTCCTTCCTCACAACTGGTTCAGCTAGAGAATAATTTTTAAAATCTATTAGTAGTTAATACTTGTACTGTGTTACAGAATCACGTGGATTTACTTGGACCAGCAATGCTGCTAATTAACGTTTGGTCTGCTTTAGTTAGGGATCTGTCTTTCATTTCACCTGGCTATCCACAAGCTTGGCAATGTATTACACGCTCAACGTTGAGTGGACTGGTCTTGGAATAACGGCCAATTTCTGCTCTAACAAGTAAGAAAACCACTCGTTGCGTCCTGCCGATGCAGCAGCACGGCGGAGGGACGGCTCCTTAAGGCAGCTCTACACGTGCAGTTCAGTGCGATGGTTTCTGCCTTCACCTGCTGCTGCCGGACACCGTCGGGGAGGGCACTGCTGCGCCTCGACACGTACGGCAGCGGTGAATTACCTGCCCGTCGGACTGTTGGTTTGCTGGGCCGCGCACCAGCCTTCGAAGGCCCGGGCCGGCCCGTGCTCGCTGTGGGTAACGAACCGGGCACAGCCCGTTCGGTTCGCCAGGGGGAACTGCGGCTGGAGCTTGGCACCGTCACCGGGACTGGGGCTGTTCGGGAGGGCTCCCGGGGCCGACGCAGCCCGTGCCTCGGGCGGGGGGGCGCTCCCTCCCGCGGGCCTCACCCGTCACGCAGTCAGGGCACCAGCTCCTGCCCTCGGCGTCCTTGTCGCCGCAGAAGAGCGCGAAGATGGGCCGGCCGTGGTAGCGCTGCGCCGTCCGCACGAACTCGTCGTACCCGCGGACCTCCGTCTCCTCCCAGCCCATGGCGGCGGCAGCTCCGCCCGGCCCGCGCGGCCGCCGTAGCAGCGCGCGCTCCCGGCGGCCCCCGCGGCAGCAGCGGGACCGGGTTCGAACGGCGCGCGGCGGGTCCCGGCGCGGTGCGGCCCGCTCTGCCCGCCCTCCTCCGCTCTCCTTTCCTTCCTCCTCCCTGCCCGCCCTCCTCCGCTCTCCTTTCCTTCCTCCTCCGCTCTCCTTTCCTTCCTCCTCCCTGCCCGCCCTCCTCCGCTCTCCTTTCCTTCCTCCTCCCTGCCCGCCTTCCTCCGTTCTCCTTTCTCTCCTCCCTCCCGGCAGCGCCCGGAGTCCGCCGGTGCCGGTCCCGGTCCCGGTCCCGCCCGGGACGCCGTGAGGCTCCGGGAGGGAGCAGAGAGGCCGCCCCTCTCTGCTCTCCGCGGCTCCTCAGGCCGGTTCTCCCTCTGTTACTCACATCAGACTCGGGATTGCTTTCGAGAGTCTGAAATCACGGCTGGTTGTTCTCAGGTCCACAGCTGTGATCACAAGCAAGGGACAGCGGCGGGATTTGCTCTCAAGCCGATGCGATGGGGCCAAGCAAAGCACCGCTGTTTGATGATGCGTTTGCATTCTCCACCCAGCGATACAGGAATGAAGCAAAGGCTTTACAAACACAGGTACCATTTGTTTTCTGCAGCGATGCTGAATTGGTTTCCATTTGTGATTGTTACAAAACGATGATTACGACCCACTTCCCGAGACAGCCCACCAAGGAGTGTGATACTCGCTTTCCTGATGCTGTCACATATAATCTTGACACTGTTCTTTTGTAAGGGTAGAGATTCAAGAACTATATCCGTAAATATTCTTAAGTGTCGTGGTTCAGTCCCAGTAGGCAGCTGAGCACACAGCTGCTCGCTCACTCCCAGTGGGATGGGGAAGAGAATTGGAAGGGGATAAGTATGAAAAATTGTGGATTGAGATAAAGGCATGTTAATAGAGAAAGCAAATGCCCTGTGCACAAGCAAAGCAAAATAGGGAATCCAGCCATTTCCACAGCTTCATTGCATGTAGCAGTGACTTGGGAAGACGAATACTGTCACTCCAAACAGCTTCCCCTTCCTCCTTCTTTCCCACAGCTTTTACTGCTGAGAATGATGCCACACGGTGTGGAATATCCCTTGGGTCAGTCAGCGTCAGCCATCCCACATGTGTCTCCTCCCAGCTTCTTGCCCACCCACAGGTTACTCACTGGTGGGCACAGTGAGGAGCAGAAAAGGCCTTGAGCACTGCTTAGCAAGAATGAAAACACTGGTCTGCTGTTAGCACTGTGTTCAGCACAAATCCAAAACAATGCTGTCATGATGGGATACATGCTAATATAAAAGAAGATCCAATTTCCTTACTGTTAGACACTTGAGTTGCATCACCTGTGTAAAGTGTTCTGTGTAACATCAGATTTTTTTTTTACACTTTGAACAGCTCCAGTTTAATAGAAATGTTCCTGCAGTTCCAGAGAATTTGGCTCTCAGATTCTCTCAGCCCCGCCCAATTATAATAGAAAAATTGAAGGCATCCAGCGATCACAGAAATCCAGCTGCAAGTGAGGACCCCAACCTGAGAAGCTCTGGCATGTTCTCAGTGGTATCTGAAGAAAAACTGAAACTGGCCGTTCAGTTGGCCAAAAGGGACATCAAACGAAGACGTCTTGAAGAGCAAGTGAAACAGCAAGTGTTTGGAAATGTGGTCAGTAAACCATTGTGGACCCAGAAGTCACAACAGCAGAATACCAAAGTATTTGCAACTCCAGGAAATAAAAATGCACTGAAGTCTCAAACTTGCTTGCCAGGTCAGCAGAGGCTTGACCAGCCTTCCCAAGGGGAGTCTACCAGCTCTGACAGAAATGTTTCTCTCTGCGTAGCTAAGGAAGGAAGGCCAA